TTTAAAAATTAAATTATTTAAAAAATATCTTATAAACTTAAAATTTCTTCTAATAAAATTAATAAAATATATATTAAACTATATTTTCTATATAATTATTATATTACTAAAATTAATATTTAACATTTTATTAAAAAAAAATAACCCATTTTTTAAGTTTATAGGCAAATTTGTCTGCTAAACAATCTAAGAAATAATAGTGAGACATTCTTAGAAAAACTTGAAAACTTCATAAAGTTTTCCTAGAGTTTTAAAAATTAAAATAAACTAAGTGATGATAAAGTTCTTAAAATCAGTATTATATATAGATTCTTCTTTTTAGATAATTTTTTAGATTAGATATAAGATAAACATGTTTTTTATAGAGAGTATTAATAGTATTTATAGGTTTATCCATCTAATTAAAAAGTGAAGGCTTATTATAGTCTTCAGAAATATAAATTATAGATTACTTTTTAAAAAAAGTGATGAAGAAATTTTTATTTATTGTAAGAATTAATAACTTTTGATTACTGAAGTTTAATCACATCTGTAAAAATAATATTTTTATAAATAGTATCTCTTATTGGAGGTTTTTTAGATGCTATATAGTTTGAAAAATTAGTAGGCTAAAATCTTTAATAAAGATTTTGTATATTATAATCTTTAAGAATTTGATATTATTTAAAGTATGAAAAAGTATTATAATGCACATAGTATACAGTTTCTTCTTAATATCAATTTATTTAAGTTTTTTGTTATTTAGCATAAGGTTTTGAATATCTACTGCTACTTTTGTATCTTCAGCATTTTAAAAATAAAAAAGTATGTTAAAGATACTTATAATTTGAATCGACTTTAAAAACTATCTAAGCTGTAGTAGGTAACTATATTTCTAATATCTCAAAGATCATATGATATAATATTGTAAGGTAATTTTATAAATTTTGCTAAAAATGCTAATTGGCTTTAAATATCTTCTTTTAAGAGGCTATATAAGTGAAATCAAATTATATTATTAAGTAAGAAGATATTATTTCCTTTTTTTAAATTATTAAACTTGATTGATATATTATTGATCTTTACTAAAGATTATGAGTTTTTATAATAAAATGAACAATATTATTATGATTAAAAAAGAGTTTTCTCAGTTTGGCTTTTATGATATTTAGGAGGATTTCTATAATAGTGATAATCTTTTAGGTATATAAGGATGCATTTTTTTAATTTTAAGGAACTAGAACGTAATAATTTTATATTAAAAATAATGAATTTGCAGAAAGTGTTTTATTCTGATTTATCAATAAAAGTAACTTTAATAATTACCTAATCAATAATCACTGAGATTTTCTGTTAGAGATTAAGATCAGATATGTTCTAATAGAATAAATGTAAAAAATTTTTGTAATTATATTTAAGGATATATTAAAATTAACAAAAGTGGTATTAAGAATATTTTTAGATATATCTGATAGTTTGTCAATATTCATATTATCTTTCTTCTTATTGTTAAGAGAAAAAATAGTTTTTTTTTTCTTTTTTTTGTCAAGTTATTTAAGCATATCACCTGCAGTTTAATCAACTTCTATAGTAACTTCCAAAGTCTAAATAGTTGAAGAACTTCTAATAATAGGCTTAGATTTAGTTGTTTAGTAATATTAGGTTTCTTTATTAATAGTTTATTATGAATGGACAACATAGAATGATCACAGTTATTATTTTTATTAATTGTTTTTCTTAGTATATTGGATTTGTAGAAAGAGTTTTTAAGTTAAGTCAAGTCAAATAAGTTAATTCTTTTTTATTATATATATATTTTTTTTAAAGTGCGGTAGTCCTGCAAATCTTTATTATAATAAAGTAAATTAAAAATAAATACAAATTAAGAAGAAATTACAGAAATCTCATTAAAACTAATCTAAGATTAATTAAAAGAAGATTGATCCTGCACTTCCTGAAAATCAAACTTAATCTAAGCTAATACTATCACTTTTTGAAAAATAATACACATAAAAGAGAAAAGAAAGGTGTGATCACTATTACACCAAAAATTTGACCAATAGGATCTTAAATGCTTCATGGCATCAATAGGATTAAATCTGTTAGAAGTAGAAGAAAGGTTAGAAGAAAGAGTGTAACCAGGAAAAGAAAAGTTTTCTTTTTTGAAATCAAGATTGATATTTGAGGATTTTTTAAAGTTGTGAACAATATGACAGCAATCTTTTCAAACGTAGTGAGTTGCTTCAAATACAAAATGCATGAGAGAGGAACAAGCAGCGGTGATTAGGGATTGAGAAGTAAGTTTACTGCAAATGAAATTTAAAAGGTAATTGGAAACAATTCCTTTAATAAGGGTAAGGAAGTGGAATTGTAGATAGATAGCATTCAACAGTCCAGCCATTCTCATAATCTTGTACATTGGTAATGGATTTTTGATTGTCTGATAATATCTTTCATTTGATAGTTAACAACAGAACACATCCAAATGTGATAGAAATCTTCGTAGCCTGCGTCAAAACTCTTTAATCAATTTTATGACGATCAATTTCATTTCGTACCAATCAAAATTATGATATTTAAAGATCATCTCAAAATTCAACCAATGCTCCAATTATCTCCTCGGTTAATTTATATAATTTTTTTCTTTTTCTGATATAAAAAAAAATTTACCATGAAAAATAAAAATAAAAAGAAAGTTCGACGGCCAGGGCCAAATGGACCACATCCGAGAATTCAACAAGTATGTGTATTATTGATATGTTACTTGTATTATTATACGATTTCTGACAGAAGATCTAAAATTTAGCAAGAGCGAAGAAGGAACAAGACAAAGAAGGTATTTTTAAATATTTCTAATAAGCACGTTTTTACATGAAACTTATTTTCTATTCTTGCAGCAAGATCTATCTGCTGACGAATGGGCTCAAGCACAAAAAGTTCTAGATCAACAGTTAAAAGAAATGGGTTTATATTGTAAAGAAATTAGTGGGGACGGAAATTGTTTGTTTCGGTATTATTTTTGAAATTTAATAAGAAGTATCTGTTTTATAATTCAATTATATTTATTAAATGCTAGCAATTTTTTCATTAAGGTCTTTGTCCGATCAATTTTATGGGAATACAAAACAACATTCAAAGATTCGCAAAGAAATTTGTGCATATTTAGAAGAAAACTTTGATCATTTTCAATTCTTTGTAGAGGATGACAAACCTTTTGATTACCATCTAGCACAGATGAAAAAGGATGGTACCTATGGTGGAAACATGGAATTAGTAGGATTCGCTCAACTTTACGAAGTTGATATAAAAATATATCAACCTGGGACAATCTATGTTATTGAGGGAAGTGAAGATAATAAATCAACAAAAAAAGCTGGAACCAAAAAAACCTTACATATCGCGTATGTTATCATGGCATTTTAGTAGATGATCAAAAACAATTTTATTTGTTATTGTCCTCTAGGATAGTTATTTATCTGTGCTTTAACGAATTTCAGAATTTTAATCATATGTATACAGTTATCATAATTGGGAACATTATAGTTCAGTAAGAAACATCCAAGGGCCACATGTAGGTGATCCGGAAATTATATCAGAGGTAAGATGACATGGTTTTAATCATACATCATATCACAAATATTAAATGATGTTAATCATTTCTTTACTTAGTCATTACATTCAACAAATGATCCTGCCTCTGATACCGATAACCCTCCGAATTCAATTGAAAAAATGATCATGAGCTCTACTGGAGAAAAGAATTTGACAACCGTTCGTGACATGATGAAAAGATTACAATTTAACCATGATGAAGTTATTAATGAAATAATTGAAAGATCACAAGAAAATTCGATTACTGATAATGGGTCTAATTCACATGAAGTTGAAAAGGGTTAGTATGATTCTATATAGTATGATTTAATTTAATAATTAGGCATATTATATTTATTTTTCATTATGTGTTAGATGCATATACACCAGAACAGGAAGAAAATTTGCCTATGGAAGGTTCTCCTCAAATGGATATCGATAATTTATCTAGCGTTTCATCCCAAAGCAAAACCACAATGCAGCCTGATATAACGCCGAGAAGAGATCAAGAAACTTTAGATGTGAACATTAATGCCAAAACTAGAAATACTATAAATTGTATAGAAGTAAGTGATTCACCTAAATCTAAGAAGAAGTTGAGAAAAATGCGTAAGAAACGAATGAAAAATAATGTTTATAAGGATGTAAATAAGTATGAGGATAAGGATAAGGATAAAGATAAAGATAAAGTAATATTTATTTAAGAATAAAATTAATAAAATTTTTAATAAATGATGCATTGTCACGTGTCAATTGTCATAAAATCATTTTTCTCACTTGAACGTCAAGCTATTGGGCTTTTTATTCACGTGGTTTCCCTTGATGACTAATCTTTTAACGATCACGTGAATTTGAAACAAAGATATGGTATATCATCAATTGTATCTATTATATCATTTGTACTCCGCAGTCAATACTGTCAGAACAATTAAAGTTTTTTTTTTTTTAATTTTATTTTTAAGACGTCGATAACGGTTGTTATAGATAGGTGTATATAGGCTGCAAACTTTTCTTCAAAATAAGAGCTTTTCAAAGTCAGGACTAATCGGACAGAATTACGGTTTATCCCTAGTCTACTCTCACCTTGGTTTACCAGGGAAGAAGGTGCCTCACAGCGCGTTCAAACAGATCTCAACCAAGAAATTAACGTTGAATAATTCAAATCAAATCGTCATCAAGGACGATCTGGAAATCGAAAAAACGGAAGTCAATAAGCAGGTTCAAGGGCAAAACGTGTACTTGAACGGTGTCGAGAAAAGTAAATATTTATTTCTCTCGGTTTATTTCTTTTATTTTTTCTGTTGCAAATTAGTGATACATACACATATACACTATTTTCTATCATTTTAAAGTGGATGATCTTACAAGCGGTTCAGATAGTGATTACACAAAATATTGGATTGATTGGTTTTTGTCTACTAAGGGAAATGAATACTTTTGTGAAGTTGATGAAGAATATATACTTGATCGTTTTAATTTAACTGGGCTAAACTCTGAGGTTCAGCATTATGTTCAAGCACTTGATTTGATAACGGATTCTTTAGGTATATTTTTAATGATATCACAATAGAAAGATATATCCGCTGAAAAAAATTATTATAATTTGTAGAAGAAGAATTGGATGATGAGATGCGTGAAGCCGTCGAGAAATCCGCTCGTCACTTATATGGTTTGATTCACGCGAGATTTATTATCACAAGCAGAGGTTTAGCTAAAATGGTACGTCAAATATTACAGTTAATTACAAAGGTGTAATATTGTTGTTTACTAAGTGATTACTTTTTAGCTTGAGAAATACAAGAAAGCTGATTTTGGCCGTTGCCCACGTGTTCTGTGTCATAACCAACCACTCCTACCAGTTGGACTTTCTGATCAGCCTTATACAAAGTCCGTTAAATTGTACTGCCCTCGTTGTGAAGATATTTATAATCCTAAATCCACTCGACATGCAAGTATCGACGGTGCCTACTATGGATCTACTTTCCCTCATATGCTCTTTCAAGTTTATCCACACTTGCTACCACCTAAAAGTAATGAGCGATATGTTCCTAGGATTTTTGGATTCAAAATTCATGATATTGCCAAACAACATCGTTGGCAAGATCAACAAAGAGAAGAACAACAGAGAAGAATCACCGTGGTTGGAGAAGGAAACGCTAATAGTTAGACTACATGCGTTTTTTTTTTTTGAGTTTTTATTATATTGTTCGGTTACAATATAAAACGATAGGATACACTTTTATCTTTATAACACAGATGAGAGATCATAAGTGTGATATTTGATTTGAGTGGATTGTATGTATTTATGTTGATTATAGAATGATTACAGCAATACAATGAACTTTGCTGTTTTTTTTTTTTTTTTTTTTTTAATTTACCATTCCTTTTTTTTTTTTTTTAATTTCTGTAACTTCTGTCTGGTATTACCTCTGAATTTATACCTTTTATTCTTTCCGTTAACAAGTTGATTTCGCATCAAATATATCATTATTTATCCTTTGTAAAAAATTCCCAATTCTTTTTTATTTTATTTTTATTTTTTTTTTTAAAAAAAAAAAAAATGAAAAAAAGGAATCAAGGCTAAACTGTTATTTATCGAAACATGCGAATTTGTTTTACGTTTGATCACGTTACTGAAGAAAAAAAAAAATTGTGGCTTGAATATAGAAATTGTGACTTTTTGTATTAATTATAAATAGATTGAAATAAAAAATTTTAATTTTTTTTTTGAACTTTAGCCACGCCCATGCTGCGGATATCGTAGTCACAACGACATAAGACAAAAAAGAAAAAAAAAGAAAAATTTTTAATTGAAAAATAAATATTTTATTATTAAACATTAATTTTTTTTTTTTTTTTAATGATACATTAATTATTTTGTTGTTGTTCTATTATTATTCCTACTATTTTTATAAAGTTCACAAATGAATTATAAAATTATACATCATTATCGTTTTCTCCTTTTAGTGTTCTTTTGTAAAGAAAAATATGCCAAAACGCGCATAAGAATACAAAATCCGAATAAAATCAATAAATTAGCAAACCAAGGTACGTCATTTAACTTTTCACTCTCCAATATCATACTACCGGGAATATAATTGGTTTGTAAATTTTCGGTTTTACATAAACTTGCTTGTAATAATGTTGATGATGGCGAAGCACATTCAAATATCGCTTTCGGTGTTTCAAATTGAATTTGCATGATCAAACCATATGAATATTTTGAGAATGACTATAAAAAAAGAAATTTATTAAAATGTCAAACCTTTTCTTTCCTTTCACTTAAAAAAGATAAAATAAAAATAAGCTGATTACTTACAAAGTATTTTAACCAAATCAAAAAAAATGGTAAATTTTTCACGTAAAAACCACCTAATAACATGGTCGAAAGCATAAATACCGTACTGACACCTATAAAAAAAAAAAAAAAAGTTTTTTTATTATTGGTCGTTTTTTTTTTTTTTTAAAAAAAAAAAAAAGATAAAAAAAATTAATAATGTTCAAACTTACTCATGCTTTTTTGTACATTTAACAAAGTGGCTCCAAAGAAATAACCAAAACTTTGAGCCGTTAACGTGGAAAGTAAAATTACAAATAAGTGAGCTACGAATCTACCAAAATCTGGTAATAAACCAGTAACCCAATAAACTATAATGGTAAACGCTGCAGGATGGGCTAAACTTAAAGGCAATTCAGCTATTTGCTTTGATAAAAAGTATGATAATAAACGATAAGAACGTGATTGACGTTCTTTTGACAGCATATCTAAATCTAATGCAAAAGCAGATAAAGCTGACATTAATGGATGAAATGACCAAAATACACTTGTAAAGAAGAGCTATACACGTCATGGAAGAAAAAAAAAAATTAAAAGAGATTTATTAGAAATTATCGATTTTTTTTTTTTTTAAACAAAAAAGAGATGAATTTATCAAACTTACATTCCCAACACGATCAGCTATATGTTCTTCTTTAAAAGGCATTTGAAACCAAACCAAACAACAAACCAAAGCTAAAGCAAAAGTTTGAATTATATCGATTTTTGATAACATGACACCTTTCCTTTGTTTGAAGGTTCTTTCGGTTAGAATTGAAAGTTGTTGCAAGAATGTAGCCTCCCAACGATGTTCACTTTTGACAGGAGCATTTATTATGTTATCATCTGTTGATTTATAAACATTATTTGCCCTATGAGAATATTTTTCGACGATTTGTTTTCCAGTTGGATCATCTTTAACTTGGTTTGCGTATGCATTAATTAATTTCTTCTTGATGTCATTATTGTTCAAAAGTTCCACTGTTATAGAGGCAAGATTTTCAAATCATAAATAAAAAAAAAATGTATACAAATACAAAAAAAAAAATCTTTTAGATCAAATAAAATACGTACGTATATAATCGGCAGGATTGAAGTTTGGATGGCATTTGTGACCTTGATTAGTAAGATAATTCACAATACCAGCTCTTTCTCCAAAGTAAACCATATGTCCATCGGCCATTAACATTAATTTATCGAAAACGTCAAATACTTGAGATGAAGGCTGATGAATAACCATAACAATGGTTTTTCTTTGTTTAACGGCTAGTTCTTTAAGAATTTTTGCAAGTTCAAGTGCCAATGAAGAATCTAAAAAAAAAAAAAAAAAAATGATTTAAAACAAGACGATTTTAATCTCTTGAGAATCTTCAACTAAGGTCATGATGCTTACCTAGACCAGACGTTGGTTCATCTAGTAAAATGACACTTGGATCCGTTAATAGTTCAGATGCAATGCTAACTCGCTTTCTCTCTCCTCCTGAGACGCCACGAACTCGGTGGTCTCCGATCTTTGAATCAGCAACCTTTGTCAAATGCAATAATTGCATAGCATTTTCGACTTGCTTTAATTTATCTTGTCGTGACATTGAACGTGGAAGACGCAATCGAGCCTATATCGATTTAAAAGAAAAGGAAGAAATAAAGGAATTAAATCAAGTGTTTCGCAAACCGCAACGTAATGATTGGCGCAGTACTTACGGTGTAACCAAGGGTGTCTCGTACGGTCAACTGAGGGAAAAATATGTCATCTTGAGTACAATATGCGACAAACCTCTTTGAATTCTTTGTTGGTTTATGACCATTCATATTTATCGTTCCCTGAACCCCTTTGCTTCCCACCCGATCTCCAAGAAGATTTAATAACGTGGTTTTTCCACAACCGGAAGGTCCCATAATTGCGAGAATTTCGCCTAATTTGGAAAGAGTAAGGTCGATCGTTATTTACCATTACCTAATTGGATCGAACTTTTGTAGATTTATAATGATCGTTAAGATCGGGTACTAACCTGGATTGGCACAACCGTGAATGTTCTCTATAATTGATTGAAAATTATTACCGATTTCTATATCGGATTTTTCATTTTCCGAGCCGTGTGACCAAAATTTTTTATTTTCGTTTTGATTTGATATCGAATAATTTACGCCATGCCATTCGAGATAAACGGGATTTTTGACAGAACTTGACCCATTCGCGGAACTTTTTATTAATTCCGTTCTCTGTGTCGTTCGTTCTTCGTTCTGTATCAAAGTGAGATTGCTATCCTCGAATATTTTCTTGATTATTAAAAAGAAGGAGAAAAGGTTAGCATTTACACTTATATACATGTTATGTGTATATACATTTTATTTAAAAATTAAATACCTTTGAAATCGAATTTGAAACCGTCTCAGCTGAACTTGAAATGGAATCAATTTCAACGTCCGCTTCTTGAATATTTTCGACTTTAATTTGATCCATCGGGTTTATTAGGATTGAGTTTTTTTTTAATGATAATTAATTTTTTTTTTGTATTTGATGTATTTAATTTAAATTGTGGAAGTTTTTTTTTGATCTTTTTGTCGTTGATTTTATTTTTTTTTTTGAAACATTGGACAGAAAATTCAAGATCCTTTTTATATTTTTTTTTTCAGATCAAGATTTCTTGTCATTTTTTTTTTTTTTATAAACACGAATATTAAAGATATTCATTTCAATAAAAGTGATCACATAAATAACAGTATAAGCACATAAAAAAAAAATGGTCAAAAGAACCAAACAACAATAGTTTAGGAATAGCTACCATTTAAGGAAAAGGGAAAGGGGAAAAAATTACTGTAATTAGTTGGGAAAGTTATACTCCGGTGAAACCTTTCAATTGGCACTCAAAATCAAAAATCTATGAGACAAAAGTTTTTGACGTCAAAATCGTCAAAAATCAATGATTATTATATTATCATTACAATAATAATATAGTAATCCAAATTTGACGTGAAAACAATTAAATTCATTCATCTTTTAATTCATTTTGTTATGATGAGTATGGCGCAAACCCGCAGCGCTGCGGGGATGAAGTAATTTACCCTTCCCCGATTTAACCGAACAAACGAAAATGGAAATGCGAAACCGGTTAACTATTTTTCCGATTGACACCAATGATTTTTATTCGTGCTCGTCACATTTTTTTAATTGTAACAATAAAAAAAAGGAAATTTTAAATTTCAAACGAATAAGAATTCTTTACACCATATTGTTTAATAATTAGAAATTTCGGGTAAATTTGCTGAAAACCTTACCAAATTTGTCATAAGTACCAAACAAATGATTAGTGATCAACATCTACTTTTTTTGCCCGCAGCATGCGATCAAATTACATCATAAACCAAAACATTTTGTACAATTTGTAAGCGACATTTAAGAACTATGATCACATATCCGCAACAATCTATCGCGTATACATGAATCAAAAATGACTAATTATCCATTCATAATTTATTTGTTTTCATTGGAACGATTAAGCACATATGTCTAGTAATACAAAGTAAGTTGCCGTCTTCATCCCATAGTTCTCCATCAACTTCATGTCTACCATTTTTCAAGAATCTTGATCTAAAGGATCCGGCAACCCATTGACCCTTCGGCATATTTTTAAATTGAATTTCAAATGTTAAAGTGGGAAACCAACAAATTTCCCCTAAGCTGTTTTCGAGATATTTCGTAGTTGGCGGGAAAATAAAATCACAAAAGGCCCTGTCATTTTTTTAAGAAAATTTTTTTTATTAACCCGTAATCAGGGGTTGTACTGTAAAAAAAAAGAATTTGGTCAACTTATTTCTTACCCCATTGATATAACGTCCAATTGTCTTTCGTCGGTGAATTTTATCCAGTGCTTCCTTTCAGCCCTCTTTGAATTTATGTCTTGGGTATCTACCATCACTTTAATACGATCATGCATGCACACTATTGTAGGATCAGGTTTAAGCAACTCGCAATACGATATATTTGGCAAGGGCATTACATCAAAGTAAGGTTGGGATATCCCTTCCTCTTTATTCAAGTCACCAAACATGACCGTAGCATGAATCTTTTCCTCCATCACGTTACCATTTTTCTATCAAAAAAGTCGGTCATTTGTTATCGATTTTGCACATCGTTTTTCAAAAAAAAAAAAAAAAAGGCATGATATTTGATGAATGCCCTACCTGTTTAAATATGGCATATGCAACCGATTGATTTTTTCCTGCCTTGATATCATGTATTTCAATTTCACATGATCCCACCATGCTTTTTTTCAAAAATTGTGCCGAAATCTGAATCGGATGCGGATGAACGTTTCTAAAATGATGCGTGAACGCATTCAAAATCATGGAAAGCAAATATCCTGTTTCCAAAAAAAAAAAAAAAATAAAAAAAAAAGGATAGAAATGAAAAAGAGGCTTCAGTATTTCTACGTCATTAACAAAAGTTCCGTACCTCCGTGCATGACTTGGCGAATTCTCCATTCTTGATCACAATAACCGCTGTATAATTTAATCCCATTCACATTTCCTCTATATTCTATTTGAATCGCTTTATCAAATTCGAACGTAGGGTCAACTCTTTGAGTTTCATTCATATCTTAAATTTTCGAATAAAAATGTTTTTGATTTTTTGAATAAAATTAAGAGAGACGAAAAAAATTTAGGTATTATATATAAAAGATAAAATTCTAAATTCTAAAAAATTTAAGATCATGATCAATTAAATAAAATGACTAATTTAGGTAACGACTTTCGGCTATTAGGTTGTCGCGTTTATTTAAAATCATGAAAAATGAATCTAAATTGTTAATTGTGAATGCATATCAACTTGATACCATTCACCACTCGGCGGAGAATTGCTTATCCAATGTTTTTCATTAGATAATAATATGGTTAGATCCTTTGGTGAATAAATGTTTACTAATCAAGATTTAATTCCCGATGCGTTAACTAATTACAGATGAGTTGAATGATTAATTTCATGTGGCATACTCTAAAAATCAACGAGATGTATTAACCAAATGAGGTTATTATATTACCCAACCACAAATTGGGCGCCTCTAGAAGTTACGTAAAAAAAAAAAAAAATTACAAGTTAATGCACAATACTTATATGCTTATGATTTTTCGATTTTTGAAGAATGACATATATAGTATCAATCAAAAAATACTTTCCATGACATACATATTTTCATTTTTCCTATTGTATCATCATTGATACGAGAGAGATTGTCAATATTTGAAATAAAGTAATTTGTCCTTTTCATTATTGATCTAATTACGAATCATACTTTATTTTAAAATAATGTAATAAAAGAAAAATTATGTTACCTAAACCGAAAACTAAAAAGTATATGAATGAAAATTAAAAATTCGATCGAACCCAAATGTTTTTAGGGTAAATTAATAAATCTTTATTCATGTTATATAATTCTAGAATAAAAAAAAAAAATGCTTTTGATGCTTAGATATAATTAAAAGTATTGAAGGTGTAAAATAAAATAAGGTTGACTGAATCTGCATTAAATCACGATATTCCATTAAATTTTAATTTAAATAAAATTCATCATCGTTTTTTATATATGAGGGTGATCGATTTTCTATTCATAAATCATTGATTGCTCTCCGGGAGCTTTATTTAGTATTCATCTTTATTTCAATGTTAATTTAAAATCTCTTCGATTTCCTCAAGAATTTCGAAATTTTAAACCCGGTTTTATTTTAGAACCGAAGTTTGATCGGTTATTTGGTACTATCCAGTTTCACTGTCACCATATCACTTCTCATTTAGTTATTGCATAAATAATAAATAAAGAATGATAAATTGGGCGCGAATTTCCACCTTTTTACTGATTCGCTATATCTAATTGATTGATTTGTAATTTCTTATCGTATTATCGTATTCTTATCTACTCTGTGACAATATAACGTTTATGGGTGGGCTCATTTTAAAATGAGTAAAATGAGTTCTGACTTCGTCCGATTAATACAAGTAAAAAACATGAGCAAATGTACTACCTTCCCTATTTTGGTGAAATTATTTTCTGTTCTTCAGTTCAAGTACTTTCCGGTTATTCCAAACCTCGATTGTTTTATTCCTCCATACAACGATAGCACTTATCCGTCCATGACATCACATATTATCTCGGACTAATTAAATAATTTGTGAGGCCTTTCGTTAAGTTCAATTCATCTTGCAAATGGTATCTTTTTTTTTCGTTCATCGATGATTGTGCGCGTTTTGATTGGGAAATTGGGCTTTAGTCAAGGCTAAAAAAGTCCATAGGAACGTTTTGAACAATCCCATGTTGAATTCCATAAGAGGAAGGGAATTTATGATCTTTTGATAATTTGATTTTCCAAGACAACCCGTTCATTGATGTTTGAATAATTTGTAGAGATACCATCTTGCTAATGTTGACGTATAAATACCCTTTGTTATTCTTTTACTACTTCGTTCTTTGTTTTAATTTGCTCATTTTGAATGAAAGTTCATCATGTAACACAGTCGTGTGAACTTATTTGATTACTCTAATTCCATTGCCATCTGTTTGCCATTACAAAAGAATTAATTGTTCCTGATGTACAAAATCAAAGGTATATATAAATGCACTGACCTATCTTAAAGAAATCATACTTGTATGGAGGAAGAAGACTGTTGTAAAGAACTTTTTTCTTCGCCATCATTATTCTCAATTGAAATTGAAAAGGTCATTTTTGACTTGAAATTCATAACAAAAAAGATGTCATAAGAGGTCATTTCAAGGTAATTTTCCAACACTGTTCTATATATGGGGATAAGTCGTCAGGAGTCAATTCGTTATTATCATGAATTAAAACAACGTATAATTTGAAGGAAAATATTTTTCGAGTGTTGTGCCAAAACACATTCCTGAAATGGATAATTCCCGATGTATTTTGCAGATCACCACTAAAATTAATGTTGATTTATAAAAAAAAATGTACAAGAAATCTTATGGAAATGAAAAGTCTCTTAAAATACCGATATCATCATCGTACAAAACATCTAAATATGTTCCATTCCAATATTGTTTTTTCTATCTCTCGAATAATATATCATCAGAGCTATCATAGAATCAAGGGAACATAATTGCGTGCTACCCACAGATTTTCAAAAAAGTGAATTTTTTCATTTAAATCACTGATAACGTGCGCTTCAACTCTTCATCTTTCTTATTAACAAAAATATATTGAAATATTGAAAGAATAAAATATCCGAATTAATTAGATTTTTTTTTTTTTTTAAAAAAAAAAAAAAAAAAAAAAAGTCAAATAATGTCACGATCTTACCAATCAGCGTTACAGAATTTACATTTACAAAAAAAAAATTTACTAAAAAACTACAGCATGAAACAAAGTACATAAACTTGTGACATCATGCTTAAAAGCTTTTCAGAGGACGGAAATAATTAAATTAAAGTGTTTCAATCAAAGAATGAAAAAAAAAAATTGAAAAAAGGGATGTCAAAATTTCAATGGAAGGATGGAAGGATGGAAGGTTGGAAGATTGGTAACAAATGTTCGTAATCAATTCGAGTGTAAAACACCCTTCATGGTTTGCCCTATATGTATCGAGTTTTTGAGATTTATTTTTGTCCCATTTAATGAATTCAATTTATTTCGAACTTCCTTAATAAGCTGAAGACTTCTTGAGATCCTAATTGACGCGGCAGAAGCAATTGGACGATCATCAATTTCAGTATGATGTTTTTCAAGTTGGAGATATGGTATTTCTTTACGTTCACTTTCAAAACCGAGGTAAAACTGAAATTCGGACCGAGTTTCTTGAAGTGTTCTGTCATGAACTTTGTTCAATTTCTTTGGAGAGGTATTCTTTGGAGGAAAGATTTCTTCTAGCCGGAGATCTGTGAACCCTTTAATGAAGGCCTTTTCATCTTTTGTATTATTTCTTTTAGTAGAGGGTAAATCAGTGTAAAAGAGGAATGGCACTTCGAATAATTTCTCTCCGAATCCACTATCACGCTTTGCGTATTTCATCTTGGATTAAGTATTTATATATATAGATAGATTTTTTTTTTAAAAAAAAGAAGGCTTCTTGTTATTTTTGTATTTTTTTGTTAATTGGATTTGTATTATATTTATCACTTTATTATTTTATTTTTTTTTTATTTTTTTTGTTTTTATGAAATTTTTCGCGTTGACCCTCATTATATAAGTAAATTTTTCGAATCATGAAACAAGAGCGAACAATAGACACGAATGAAAGTGAGTTCCAACCTAATTCATCAAATGCTACTTTGATTTAGATCAAACGCGACCTTTTTTTCCTAAATAAAAGCAAACGCAGGGAGGAAATTTAATTATCGATTGAGTTGATGCGCATGTCTTGCATTACGCAGGTAGTAAGAGGAAGAGGATACACAGAGATGTATGTATTTAATGTATTTTTCTAGAATCGGGTGAAAAAAAAAAAAAAAAAAAAAAAAAAATAAAGACCAATAATAACATCACAGGTCACAAGTTGGAAAAAAAAAAAAAAAAAAAGTAAGCGATATAATATTTTGATTGCACTGAAACTATGATATGATGTATGATAAGAATGATCGTTCTTGTGATGTTTGTTTTAATTTTTTGAATCATTGATATGGAGTGGTAGGCCCCGAGATCATGTTTTATAAATTTTTCTAGATCATACACGAGAGACAAATGAACGAGAGGGGCAGATGAACCATTAACCAATTAAATTTGTAAATAATAGATTTTGATACCCTAAGGCGGCGGATTTTATTTTTTTTTCTTTACGGCAAATGTGGCTGTACGCATAAATCAGAAACATGTTTGGCAATAATTTAATGATGCATCCGATTAAATTCCGACAAACTACAAAATTTCTGCGGAACATCTTTTATTACAAAAAAAAAAAAAAAAAAAAAGAAAATTCATTCATAAATATGACTGGAATCACAAATGGAACCATATTTTTTTATCAGAAATTTCACAAATGATTCAAATTTAAAATTTGTGGTTCTAATTTTCGATCCTAATGAAAATGGTTGATAAGAATTAATAAACAAGCCATCTAAAAGACATTTAATTGATAAATCAATTTTCGAAATCAGCTCGTCTTGAAAAAATAGAATGGAAAGGTTTGATTTTTGAAAAATTAAATTGTTTTAAGAGAATAAAATTTCAATAAGGTGTACATAACCTAAAATTTTGTACAATGATTTACTACCTATTATAAAATATCCTATAAATTTTAAATTAAAAGTGTATTATTGTGTATTTGAAAAAGAAATAGATTTTCTTTAAATTTAAAGAAAAAAAATCGGTAAATACCTATACCGAAAGGAATGAGATTGTTTCTCTCGAATTTTTGTGTAAAAATATTACACAGAGTCATAAGCGAAAAAGCATAAGCATGCATAAAGCATTAAGCACAATATACAAGCTTAAAGCGTAAAGCATAATTAATATCTAAGGTCGAATACAAAATCAAGTGAAAAAGTGAGTTGATATTAACAAATTTCGATAATCCAAAAATTTAACGATTTTTTATTTTAATAATAACAAAATGGTGATAAATTATATTATTTAAACAAAAAAAAAATCATATTGAAATATAATTGACCCTCGCTTTGAATAATTTTAAAATGCACATGGCAAATCGGACTACCACAAATAGAAAGTACGCAGACAACTCTTGATAAACATTTCTATTTTATAAGTTTTTCCCCAAGTTCTTAGAATCCTAAAATCCTTCGGGTGAATTATATCTTATCCAATCTAAATTATCTTCTGACGAATTTAAAATGGGAGTTGGTGATGGTATAAATGGTGTTGGTGGTGTAAATGGTATAAATGGTGTTAATGGTGTTGTTAATGGAGTTGGTAAAGTTGGTGGTGTTGATGTTAATGATGTTTGTGGTTTTGTTTGAGAATTTGATATGGTTGTTGGTGGTGTAGGAGAAGTCGTTAAAATCCTATGTCGCTGTTTAGCGACCATGGACATCACCTCAAAGAATTGTAACACACTTTGAGATTGATGTTTCCAAGCTTGACTAGCAAGCCCGGAAACTTCACCGACCGTCATCTCAGGGACAATTTGTCTAAGTCTCGCGCTAAGATCTATTCGATATATCATGAACGCGTTTTTGGGACTTGGAATTGTCCCGTTTGGTCGTTTACGTGAACCTAACAGATCATCCAATGGAACGGTTAATTGATAAGGTGGTGGTGTCTGCGATAATAATGATCTTAATAATGTTTCAGGATTTTCGCAAAGAGGTGAGTAGATGATTGTCAGAGGTTTGTTTTGATCCTGCAACCTTGGAATGTTGGAAGAAGGTTCAGGATCATGTAAAAGAGGTGAATTGTCGAACATTGTTGATAAATGATGATAAATGATATGAATATAGTTGAAGAAAAATGATCGTATTTATATTGGTTTTTTTTATTAATTGCAAGTGTTAAAACCCAATCAAATTGAATTAACTATCAATTATATTTTTTCAATAAATATAAAAGGTCAGAAGGAATTCGTCAAATGAAAAAATTTACCGACAATGTGACATGATGTGACATATAGCAACGCGACTAGGATTTTTAAAACTTTTAAATTGGTTAATCAGGTTAAAGTTAAGTTGCTTATTCCCTGTCGGAATTGGTTTTGCGATTGTTGAGAATTGCTACAATCGTCAGATGATCAAAAACAATTGGCGCCTAAACCATTTTTACGTTTCGCAAATGGCTTTTTTATGATTCGGGATACAGTCAGTTTAACATTTTGGTTATGTTGATTAAACTATAATGTTTCAAATCTTATGTAAACTTTTTTTATTCATTGTTTCAAAGGAGTTGTGTGAACTTCTTATCATTTTGTTTCAAAATTTTCAAGTTTTTTCCATGTGAGTTATTTTTCTTTTATAAATGGATAAATGAAAAAAGATTATCATTGAAAAATCAAATTTTTTCTACACGATCATGTGATTTCAATATTTTAAATCTTTTGTGAAACCATGGCACTGCGCAATTCTTTCGTTTTTTCTTCTCACGTATAAAAAATCATCCCAATTACTTTAATAATATAATATCTTACTATTATGTTAAGAAAATAACTCTGTTCTCACTTCAACTCATATGGTCTTTGACATATAATTTTGTGATATTAATTTCATTAATATTGATTATTACGCAACTTTTAAACCTCCTTTTGCATATAAAATATTGAAAAAAAATTGGCTGATACACCAAAATTGAAAAAGTTTCAAGTTCGTGAATTTGTGTTTGTTTCATTTTACCCATTCATCCCTAAACAGGTTATATTGGCTATGTAAGAAGGAGGAACTAGTCCGAAATAAAAACGTATGGAATGATTGATCTGCATTATATAATCGTCAAGTATATAAAATAAGTATTCATCATTTTTTGGTAATTCAGACGCAGTGATTTGCTTGAAATGTTTTTATTCCAACAACGAGCGTTATTTTTATAAAACTTCTAACCATTTGAAGTAATTTTTAACAATCATAGGAAATTTGTAACTAATTATATCGAATCACACAAGAATTTAATAGGGTTCATTAAAGGAAAAACAAAGATTGAGATTTATTTAATCAAGCTATATTTAATCATTCATCGGTTTGTGTCTGATAAGAATCAAGGTTACAAGAATTTCAAAACTTGTATTTTCACACTTATTTACACATCACTATATAAAACTACTGTATATACAGTAATATATATAAATAAAATATATTATATACAGCTTCTTATAATATAAAATATAATAAAATAAATAAATAAACTAACTAATCTAGTACTATATAAACTTTCCTATTAAAATAAAAAATTGTACAAGATTTTAAATAACATATATACAATAAATTTATGTTTTCAGAATATATTTGTAAAAAAATAAAAATTTAAATAAATTTTTTAATAATTTATTTTCTTAATATTGAAAAATTTTAAGCAAAATTTTTACATAAATCTATATATAAGATTGCATAAATTTTTACATATGAATTTATATAAAATAGTAAGTTTATAGATTTTATGTAAATTATATTTTGCAAGGTTATATAATTTTATTTAATGCAAATTTTATATAAAGCTACAAGTATAAGTTTGTATAAATAAGTATCATAAGGTTACATTTATAAAAATTTCTAAATAAAATATTAAAAATTTATAAAATTATTTAAATATTATATAATCTAATTTATTTGTATTTATATTATATTTTTATTTATGATTGCTAAAAAAATCTTTTCTGCAAAGGATTGATAGAATAATATTATCTTCTAAAACAGTATAATATCATTATGAAATTAAAATCTCATCCTTACATTTATCATCAGGAAGGTTTAAAATTTTTATGATTAATATTTTATATATATATTAATATTTTATTTTTATATTTTATAATATATCAAAAATACTTTAAATTAATAGAAATGAAAAGTAAAAATATTTTAAATTTTAAAATACAGTCAGGGAATATACCAAATAAGAAAACGATTTCTAGAATGATCTACAGAAAATCCTTGAAATTTGATTGGCTGTTACATGCAAATTATCGATAATCATATTTTTTTTTTGAATTTTCATTGTAGCTTAGATAGCATATAGATTGATAGTAAAAGACTTCTAGTTTTCATAATCAGGAATAATCATTCGGGATCAACTCTTCTTGAAAAAGTAAATGAGACTTTAAAATAAGAAATTTGCATGCATTTTGTTAATTAAAATGAAAAGTATATAACATATTTTTTGTTAATTAATCTAGCATTCTAAATAATTTTTTTTTGTAATGTCTGCTTACCAAAAGCCAAAAGCAAAAGAACTTCCATGTATTTTTTTCAGATTTAGTTAATAGTTATAGTAAAATTAGATTAAAAGCCTGTGAAATAGAAGAATCACAAACCTGACAGTATGTTAGTATCCAGAAAATAACTAAGCGGCTTGCACAATACCATAATTATATTCCTGAACTTGCTAACTTTTATTCTTCTTTAAAGTCTTATTCAATTTGTGAAAGACATTATAATCAAATTATTACCACTAATCAATTTTACTGTCATCTTATAGATTCTAATCAGGAAAATAAGTGACTTCAATTAGATACTGATGAAGAAAGTAGTATTGATCATTTTGACATTATAGCTGAGTTTGAAAAAACTAAAAATCTTCTGGAAGCTAGTTACTTAGAAATTCAGCAGAAATTACAATCAATAACAGACCTTAACAACCAAATTGTACAAATGCATCAACATTTAGAAGATCATAAAGTTGAAATAGAAAAATTAAAAAAAAAATTACAAAAGGCTTATGAGGATATGGCTGAGATTTATAATTTATATAATGAAAAATATAAAGATAATAAAATTTTTATTAAACAGCAAAATTCGCGATTTTCTGATCAACAAAAACGTATTGAAGCAATTATTAAAATAGTGAATGCTGAATATGAATCATTATTTAATGATATAGAATCATTGATACGAAACAGTATTAGGTTTTTTATGAAGAGTCTTGTAAAGTATAATCCTCGTGAATGGCTCAATAGATGAAATCAGGTTGTTGTCAAATTTATCAAAACTTTGATTCAAAATACTCAAGGCACTGATACTTTAAGCTAAGAAAAGCTCTTTAAAACTACTATTGCAGTTGATTTGATATATAGTGCACAACATGAAAAATATGTTTCAGAGATCCATCTTGTTCTCTTCGCTATTAAATATTCAATTATACAATCGAAAATAGTTATCAATATTAATAATCATATAACAAATTCAGGAAGTTATTATCGATTTTAAAAGTGGTGTGAAGAACTATTAAAACATAAAGAACCATTACTCAAAGGCCTGTTATTTCTTATATTTGATAACGAACAAAGGGAACAGAAAAATTATCTTGACTGAGAGTTTAATACAGTAGTTTACTATATTGTTATCAGTTTCATTGGTTTTAATATGGCATTACAAATGCAAGAAGTCATTGATAAAGAATTATATATTTATATTACTGATATTCTTAATTTATTATCTAAAGAAAAAATATCCTCTATTAATACTATCAATTCTCTTATAACATCTATAGGAATTAACATTACCAACATGAAAGAGTGTCCTAGCTATCATTAACAAAATATTGAAAATTGAAAAAAACATGTTCAACATACCAAACGTGATTGCCAATATTAACTGATATGTAAAAAGAAAAAGTAGGCGAAGTTGAATATAGTATAATCAAAAATCTGTTTGTTTTTAAACCTTTTAACGTTAATGATGAATCAAGTATTACATGTGTTTCTAGAATTAGTGTTACTTAACAAAGAGTTACTAATCAAGGAGTTAACATTTCTAAAATTTATGTTCCTGATCTGATTAATATTAACCCTAATTCTATTGCAAATATTGAAAAGATTCTTTTATATATAGAGATAATAACAGGTATTAGAGATGGTACTCGTAAGTAGATAGCAGTAGTCTGTGATAGTGTTTCATACCATCATGCTATAAAATTGAAAGAAAAGTTTCCTTGGCTAGTACTTTTACCAGAACAATTGCATGAAGAAATGAATATACTTCGAGCATTTGTAGAATTAAAACTAATAGGTAATTACAATTCAGAAAATTTATTATTTCGCAATACACAAAGAATTTTGTTCAATGTTCTTATGCTACTTCAATACATTTATTCACTTAATAACTTAACTTTATATATTAAGGAAATTGATATAAAATGATTTGCAGTGTACCAAGATTATTGAACGGATAATCAGCTTTCCTACTTTAAAAAATGTGCAGATCATCACAAGTCTTGAGATTCTATCTGTAATATATATCATCAGGCTATTTCTATGGAACTTATATGGCTATATGTAAAAAGCTATTCAGACTTATCAGTTGAAGGATATCTTACTTAGATCAAAAAACAGCAAGATTCACTTTATCAGATAAAATATAAACAGATCACTACTAATTTTTATTCTTTTTATAGATATTAATATTAATTTTTATTATTTTTATTTTAATAGATATTTGTTTATCTTCAAATAATAATCAATTATCGAAAGGCTATAAGAACCAATGATCCTCTATTAAAGAGTGTTACTAAAAGAGTATTTTCTCTTATTTGGTCTGCAAGATAACACCCTATCTACCGTCTAATAGAAGTTGCTAATGAAGTTCAATTGATGTAGCTTTGTCTGAAAGTACGTGATATTATAGAGAATAACTGCATTATTTCTAAGTCAGGTATTTATGAACAGCATCAAGAATTAGATGCAATTATTGAAGAGATAAACAAAACTTTAAAACTTACTTAAAGTAATTGGATATAACGATTATCAAACCTTCAGACTAAGAACTCAGCCAG